TTATATGTGCTTGTATTTTGATAAAAAAAATATGTATTTACTTACCGATAAATATTGGAATTTTTATAAATATTGGAAAAAAAATGTTAGAATTGAACTAGTCGTAAAGTAGCAGTATTTATTTTTGTCGTTGTAAGTAAAATATAATTATTTTTGAAGAGTGTTTAAAAAACACGTTAATCTTTTTTTGTTGTTTATTTATTTTTACGTAATATGTTTAATCATTATACTCGTCTTTATAACATGCATTTACAGTTTTATTAAGTTTAATGTTTTAACATTATAAGCCATGTTTGAAGTTATGTATTTAAAGCATTTTTTAAATATTATTATTTTATATTTACCATTACGATAATAAGAGTCTATTTTTTACATTTTCCAATAAAATGTTTAATATATATTGTTTGTGTGATTTGTTTTACATCAATACCCCGACAAGCACTATATAAGCAACATAGCACACTAGTGCTAATAAATAGTTCTGGACAAACCAATCCAACAACAAAATCATCGGCGTATCTCTTTCCGAATACGCTAACAATAGGACAATGGGTTTACACTGTCCCAACACTTGCATAACTACAATAATGCGATCCCTAACATTGTCATTGGAAAAACAGTTATAATGTTATCATCATCTATTGGTTGCTTTTTGAAGCAAATATTATATTATTTCTAAATTTTTAAGTTAAACTAAATAAACAAACCGCAAATAAGAGTCCCATCCCATGCCTTAATATAGACTTTAAATAGGAGTTAAAATGACATTCATCGGTATTGTAGTTCGCCCTATTATAATGGAGACGTTTTTGATTTATGTCGAAAGGCTTTTGCAAAATCTTTTTAAGGAAGTGCAAAATAAAACCAGGGAAAAAGATTTTTGTTTTATTTTATCATGTTTTTGAGCAAAAAGATCGGGTAACTAACCATTGTTTCTTTCTTCTCTGTTTTCGCACGCTTCTGTCACTGTCAATGTCCATTGCAATTGTCAAATGTAAATCAATGTCAAGTAATACTATAAATATGTAGCTCATGTAAACAACCTTTTTTATTTGCCTTCGATTTTTGGTTTGAATTCTTTCTCATTTAGTACTTTAGCGTAATTTGTCTAAGCTGTAGGTTGCTCCCAACCAAACTTCGTTTTTGTTTTTCCCACGAGATAGAAGTGTTATACTCGGCCTTTACGACTTAAGGCAGTTAAATCAATTTCGACAAATTAATCATGGTAAGTTCATTTTCCTAATAAAAGATTTGCTTATTTTTAGATGGTCAAGGAGCAATGTTGTAAACATGCTACTGCTAGGGCCCCAATACAGCATAATTAGACAAAATTTGGATGTAATACAAATATACTCAATTGTTTGCATTAACAACATAAGCTTGTGCAATATTTTGCATGAGTAACACACTCATGGTTCCCAAAAATTTGATAACATGGTGCAATCAAAGAACACATTAAAAAATATATTCAATATTTTAAAAATGAGTTCTGGATTTCATTGTATTTTAATTCAAAAATTAATAACATTTTTACAACATCAGACATTATCTACACCAAAACAAAAGAGGCAACTAACAAAAGATAACTAAATTAAAATACAGTTATTTGTATTTAGAAACTTGATAAAATAATTTTTACTAATAATGTGTTCTCAGGCTAAATCAAATAGACCTCGTGTCTGTATTATTGGTGCTGGGATTGCTGGTCTTACTTCTGCAAAATATTTAAAAGATGAAGGAATAGACTTTACGGTACTAGAATGTTCATGCTACGTAGGTGGTATGTGGAGATATGAATCATGGGGACCTTATGACGAATTTGACTCAATATTGCACACGGCTATGATTTTTGATTTAAGGTAAGCCACTATATTAAGACATATTCTAAGTATTGAAATGGATTGTGGGTGTTTTCGAAATTAATTATTATAAAAAAAACAATTTCTTTAAAAAAATCCTAAGAGTTGCTTTTGTTGTGTGGGTAACATGTTAACCTGTTAATCTTTAATTAATGAAGTTAATATTTTTCTAACTTCACAATATCTTTAAAAATACAAGTCACATAGTCGAAACTGATAGACAAATAAAAATAGTGTGGAAAAAGTTCTGGTCATTAAAAGAAATACTAAAGTCAAAATTATCTCTCAAAATAAATAAAAAAGTCATAGACATGACCATACTTCCGTGTTTTTAGACGACGCCCAAACCTGGATCATCATCATTAACTCACTATACATCCCCACTGAGGGGCTCCTGGGCCCCCCCTAAGTTAGGGGTGACTAGGCGATAGTCAACCATGCTGGCCTAATATGGGTTGGTTACTACCAAACCTGGATTGGACCTTGTCTGTAAAACTTTTCGAAAATTCCTTCCTGTCAACAAGCTATGGAAAAAAGCATCTAGAATATCAAAATAAGCCAAAAAAATTATAGTCATACCATAAAATTAAGAACAAAGTTATCAGCTGCAGTACAGCAAGTGCAGCACCTTAAATGTAAATGGGCGGGACATGTGATGCTCACCCAATGATTTAATGATTAACAAAGGTTACTTTGGGATTAACTGTCCCACCTGTGGTTATGTGTAGATTTTGGTGAGAATCCAATGTAACACAGATCAATTACAGATAATTAAGTCAAAAATTTAAAACATGATTATTAATAAAAGCATTATACATAACCATCTATTTTCTTATTTTAAATATAGTATTTTTTTTCTAAATATAATGATAGAACATATATACAAATAGTACACCACAGGCTGCGGAATCCCATCACTCAAGCAACCAGCAGTCAGGACAGTAGAGGCAGGGACCTTCTTGTTATTGTTGCGGTTTCTTAAACATATCCGGTTCTTAGTCCAACTGTTTAGCCATGGCTTCTTAAGATGTTGGTCGAAACTCTTCATTATCATATAATTATTAATATTTGCATTTCAATTATTTCTTAGAACTATTTAATCCAAAGGAATTGAGTACCTATCTTATCAACATAAGATATTGCTATATATGACATTTACAATAAATATGTATTATCTGATAAGCATAAAATTTTACATTAAAAAACTTTATACTTCTATTTCAATTACTTTGATTGCAATGATTTTTTTTTAAAGTTAAGGTTAAATAGGATTTTACTTTGACTTTGATTTCTCATGCAGTTTTTCAATGCATTAACCTAATATAGCTCTGAAATTATTGCTTTACCAGATAACTCCGCGAGCATGGATTTAAAAAAAAAAAACTAATTATTAGCATATGTGATCTTCCAGACTATATCCTACATTCAAGCCAAATTATATGAAGATCTGTTAAGCTGTTCTGGAAATACCTTCAAACAAACATCCTTGTGTTTTTGTTAATTTTTTTAATTTGAATTTTAGATTAAATATACCACATCCTGCAATGGAACTCCCTGGATACCCTATGCCAAAACATTTGCATTTTTTTCCCTATGCGCAAACGTATTACTACTATATCAAGTCTTATGCAGAACATTTTAACTTAATGGAGCATATACAGGTAAATTGATAAACATCAGAATAACTACATTTTACTTAGCATTTAAAAAATCCAGCAAATGAGAACCCATATAAATTTTTGGGTTGATAAAAATAAAATCACAATATTTTACATAGTTTCAAAAAAGGTCATTATTTTAGAACGTATGTAACGAAATATTTTAAACGGAATTATTGAAAGGGCAGATTTAGTTCAATAGATGTATGTTTAAAAAAATCAGTTTATAATGTGTCTGTTTAATATTGACAATTATCTAGTATGACAAATCATTTCACAATTCACTAGAGATAGGTTAAGTAAAATCGATTATAAAAATTTTCAATGGTTTTTGAAATTGTTTTTTACATATTACTACTTTATATTCAAATCTACATAAATAAATGAAACATCAAATCAAAAATTGAGATTTTGACATCAAAACAAAATGTTTTTTTTTTTTACCTAATTATGCGAGAAATAGTCAAATATCTGTAATAAAAAGCAAAAAGTAATAAAGTACCTAAATTATAGCAGCAATATTTTCGTTTTATATTATTAAAAGACCGATTCTCGATAGGCGAACGGTCCGACATTATGTCAACCGAGTATAAGTACAACACTAAATCAAAATTAATTGCAGCTATAAATGTTATATTTATTGTTAGAAATTCAATAGATATTTGAAATTAAATTAATTGTTACAGTTGCTTCATAATGTTACATCAGTGAGGCGGGAAGGAAACGTATGGAAAGTGATATACAACAAAGTACTAAATAAAACAGACCACGAAGAAGAATACGATTTTATTATTGTAGGAACTGGTCACTTCAGTAATGCTAATGTACCTAAATTTCCAAATGAAGAACTTTTTAAAGGTTTTTGAATCATTTAAAAATATTACTTTACATCGTTTTTTTTTCGAAATTATGTCTTAAGTAGGGGGTAAAAGTTTATTTATTTATTTTTTTTGTCTAGTTTTTATCAAACCTAGGAGTTAAAAAAATCATATTAAAATTTACTTTTTGTAGACGATCTAATCATGTGCCCCATGTCTATCTCGCGAGAATCGTCGCTAGAATAAGAGAGACATTTGTTTTTGTACATATTTCTCATGATAAACTCTTATATCTATTATACGACTGTATTTTAAAAGTTGAAATTCCTCTTACCAGGAGTTATATTGCATAGCAAAAACTACAGAGTACCCAGTGTATACGAAAATCATCGTGTTTTAATTGTCGGAGCGGGAACTTCAGCATGGGATATTATCATAGATATGCTTAAGTACGCTAAGACAGTGGTGCACAGCCACCATTCTAAACAAAACATTAAAACGAAGTTCCCAGACCTATACATAAGAAAACCAGATATCAAAGAATTTAAAGAAAATGGAGTCGTTTTTGTTGACGGTTCTTATGAAGAGATTGACAAAGTTATTTATTGCACTGGTAAGTGTCATATTCATAGTTCAGAATTATATCTGACCGGGTGGGCATAAGTCAAACTAAATTATGATAAGCCTACTAGCGGCCTTATTACAAAATAGAAAAAGTGTCACAAGATAATTTAAGTAATGTAATTTTCATGTCACTTTTTCTTTTATGTTTTATCTGTATATCTAAGAAGGTTTTATACATATTTTCTGAGAAGACTGTCAACGATAGCTGCGCCCCTCTCACCGGGTCTTCCTTGTTTGAGAATAACTGTACCATTGACTATTTTCTTGCATCGACCAAGCAATTCTCCAAACATTTCAATTCATCATAACAATACTTTTTCAGGATTTAGCTATACATATCCTTACTTGGACCCATCATGTGGGTTAACAGTCAACAAAGACCATGTGCTCCCCTTGTACAAACGCCTTGTGAATATAAATGAACCAAGTATGGTGGTACTGGGGCTGGTGAGGCGCGCCTGCTACGTCGTAGCTTTAGACGCTCAGGTAAAGTAAATTTATGACTTCGTCACTTGTACGTCTACATCAAGGGGCTTAAATGAAAAGCTACTGAGCATCGGTCAACAACGTTGACTAGCCATGGGTTTCTGACACCAAAATCTCTGTATAAAATATATTTTGGTCTCAGAAATACGTTAAGGGCGGGTTTGATTGACTATAAACATCGAGTGTTTAGCGTCAGTCCAATCGGACCAAATGGATTTTTTCCCATTGAGCCGATTGAAAGAAAAACGATTGATGTATAGGCCGATTGGCCCAAGGGTATACATTTCCTATTCGGGCGATTGACTCCATATAATAAAAATAATTTCTCATTAGTCCAATTAGTAAGGCCGATCAGCCCAACGGCAAACACCCCACTCATCTGTAAATTTCTCTATAAATATCTGCATATTGCATCACAATGTTTTTAATTATACTAGTGAATAATAAAATATGACATTTTGTTACGTAACTATTATTTTATTTATTTTTCAGGTTCGTTACACCACAGCACTTTTAAAGGGTGATTTTAAACTGCCCTCCAAGGAGGAAATGACGAATGTTTGGCAAAAGGAAGTTGATAATATTAACTGTAATGGACGACCCATGTCTGATTTACATTTGTTAGGAGATAAAGAGGTAATTATAACACAAGCCCATCACTGCATTTACAAAGTTATAGCTTGATTTGAGATTTCTTACTCTTGCTAATACTTTTCTGTTTTATACTAGCTGTTGCCTCCAACTTTGTCCATGTGGAATTAAAATATTGTAGTAATAAATACAACCGGGGCTAGGGAAGCTCAACAACAGTGAAAAAAAAATCTAATCGGTTCAGTAGTTTTGGAGTTTAATTCAATCGTTCGTCTTTATTATATTAGTATAGATTAATTTCGTAATTTTTTTCTAGGATCAGTATTACAGGGAACTGAGTGATGAATCTGGTATAGAACGAGTGCCCCCTGTCATGTCTAAACTACGAAATGTCAGCAATGAAACGAAACTGGAAAACTTATTCACTTACAGAGACTATATT